AGCTCTGCTCTCTTAGGGCTGCTGTGCTTTCACTTGCTGTAACAAGAGAATTGTTGACACTTTATACAACAAGCAGTGTGTGTGCTATGTAAATGAGGCCCAGGTTTGACAAACCTTTTATAAAGAAGCCAGTGTAGATTTGCACTTTATACAACCTCTCAGGTGCATAGCTGGAGGCTGGAGAACAAATAGCTGTAATCTTTCAGTAAGTCCCTTGCTTGTCACCTGCTTCATCTTTCTCTTGCTGAGCTGGAAATGCAAAGTGGATTTATTGACTCCCAGGGCTCTGATCTGCTGATTATAAATCTCTGTCCTTCAGAGGTCACTCCCCCTCAGTTCTGTGAATCTGATCTTGCCAATTCCCAGAACTCTGCTGCACACATCTATCAATCATGATGTAGTGTCTTGACAAAGCCGAAGAGAGAGACAGAGTTAACATTGCACGTTTAAGTGAATCCATTCCTAAAACTTCTCTCATTGAGACTGCCTGCGCTGAACGTGCTGAATGAAATACTAGATAAATGCATGTTGCTACTATCATTAATGTTCACTAGAGAGCAAGCACAGCAACAAGGAAAGGCCCTGCTCAGCTCCTTTCAGCTCCAGTTTGGAGATGAGAAAAAAAAATGGCTTGTAAGGAAAGCAGATGACCTTCTTTTGGAGAGAAGAGATGGTGCAGCATGGAAGATTTCCTGGGCTCCTGTGCCAGTGGCAGGCTTATCCACCTTTTTCTAGGTCCTTCTGAAGCTTTGCTGAGGGGTGCTTCTGTCCTACTGGCCTCCTCCCAATAGGCAAATGGCTGTACCATGCCTGCTGTGCATTGGGGTGATTTCACCCTCCTCACTGCTGCCTGCATCACACTGCACTGTATCATATTCCTAGCTCTGCAGCTGGGCCAGGCTGCTCAGCCAGAGACTCTCTCTGCTTCACTCCAGACTGCATCCCAATATCTTTCTAGAGCACAACCTCAAAATACCACTATCTAGCCAGTGGGCAGTAATTTGGGGTTGCTGTAGAAATAGGCAATTTTAATTGAGATGGTGGAACTTGGATCCAATGCCAGGGTATTTCTGAGTGTGGGCATGTGAGCAAAACAAGGGCGATGATACTCTTTGCAGAGGCAGGCAACTGCTCTCCCTGACACCAGGTGCAGTATAAAATCACTTGTTTGACTATGCTCCAAAACAGACACAACCCCCTCACCCCTGCTCATACTTCAGTGAACTAAACTATTCCCCATGGTCATGTGCTCTCATTTAAATGAGAGAGACTTCTTCTCTTCCACATAGTTGCTGACATCCTCCCTCACCCCCAGACTGTTTGGTCCACTCCTGCTTTGTTCTGCAGTGATAGCTCAACATGGTGTTGTAAATGTTATTCCTGGGTTTGCTATGAAGAAGGAATTCCTGCCACAGGAGCAGTTCCTGCTGGTCCCCAAAGAGCCACTCCACCAGTTCCTTGAGTCTCCACAGCTGACTTGAAAGAGATGGATTTTCCAGCCAGTGGTTCTGTAAGTTTTGTGTTCCACAAGTCAGACCCTGGCCTTTCAGGGGTCGTGTAGCAACTATGTCATACATCCCTACCTGCCCTGGGTGTCTTCTGGGTACAAGGAGTCCTGGATCTTTTGTGTTGAAGGCCACAAAGTGAGCCTGGCAGATGTGCTCATTACCAATACTACTGCTACCTATGCTTGGGGCCCCTTTGTCTGGGTGCTGCATACTTCCATAGAAGATACAGTCCCTGTTGTTAGAAGCTCACTGTCTAAAGAGATGAGAGACAAGCAAGGGACAAAGGAATGCTCAATGTTCCCATTTCACAGATAGGGAATGGTTGTCAGGAAGAGTAAACAGTTTCCTATGTTTCAGGGCTTCTGGTGGTTATTCAGAGAGGTGAGAAAAGAATTGTCTTTCCTTCATGAATGCTTTATACGCTTCTGATTCTTTTCTTCTTCTCTGAAGCATTGGGCATGACCATAGCTAAAGATAGGAGTGTTTTCTGGGGTTCTCTGATGCTCCTTCTGGTACTGAGGAACCTCTAAGATACCTGACCAGGTATTTTGCTCTCTCAATCAACACCTAAACTGGGTCCAAAAGGAATTTCCCCCATGTCAGATTGGGAAGGATTTCGGAGGTTTTGTCATCCTCTGTAGCATGGGCATAATCCTGTTCTGGGGATCAGCAGGGCATCTGCAGTGCCTCATCTCCTGTTTTTTTACCTGTGGCCCACTGTACGGTGTTGCTGATTTGTACATGCTATGTGCATAAAGGTTTGAAGTGGACAAGTTTCAGGACTTTCTGAAAAGTGGTTGTCTGTAAACACAGGGGACTAGAGTCAAGAGCCCAGTTCCCTCGACCTCTCCTCATAAGTCATGTGCCCCAGCCCCTTCACCATTTTTGCTGCCCTCCGCTGGACTCTCTTCAGTTTTGCCACAGCCTTGCTGTAGTGGGGCCCCCAAAACTGAACACAGTACTCCAGATGGGGCCTCACCAGTGCTGAATAGAGGGGAATAGCCACCTTCCTTGATCTACTAGCAACATTTATTGCCTTATTGGCAACAAGGGCACACATTCAGCTTACTGCCCACTGTAACCCCCAGGTCTTTTTCTTCAGGGAATCAAGGGAGTGGTGAGGTATAAACTCACCCAGAACTCCTGGCCCCAAGGGAACGTAATTCTCTCCTCTCCAGTGTGGGATCTGAGCCCTATGGACAGACTTTCACAGACCTTTTAGGTCAGGAGCATGGGAGGCACGTGCTTCAGGTACCTGCCTAGAGTGATGGTCATAGGCCTGGATTCCAGGACAGGTAGATCACATCTTAGAGAGCTGAATTCATATGGCTCCTGATTCCCCAAAGTCTTCTTCAGAGGGGTTTGCACTTTCCAGTGCAAGAAAGAGGCCAGGGGGTTCATAGTGATGGAAATGAAACAGGGAGTTTGGGGTCTCCACAGAATCCCTCTCTCTGAGGCAACACCAGTCCTGGTGATTTCTTGCCAAGGAAGGGGATGACACTGGCTGCCAGCACTGGCACAGAGAGACCATGGCAACAGACTGGGGTGAAGCACAGCACTTTCTTTTATTTGGGTCTGAAGATGATGAATACAGACAGGCTACAGAGTGGGGAGGGGTAATAAATTTGCTCAGCATTGACTCATTTACAAGCACCTGCCCTTTTCTGGAACTTGTACTAACTAGAGCATCTGCTGCAACAATGAATTGTTTTCAGCTGCTAGCTCCTTACGGACCATCATTAATGGGAGATTATGGTTTCACGATTAGCTTGCCATGAACACAGCCATGCTCTCATGCAGCATTATATGGAACCTGTTTCTTTTTTCATTCCACTACTTCATGGTGCCCTTCTCTTCCTAACCGTCCTCTGTGTCGAAACAGCTGGACAGAGTACCCACCTCCTTGAATACCACACTTAAAAGACTCCCTAGGATGCAGCTTTCAGAGTGTGGAGACTCATTCCTGTGGTGACAGCCCCCACCTCTGGAGAGTGGAAAAGCCATGAGATTTATCTGTGTGTATCACAGCCTCTTTCTGAACACGGACTTGTGCATTTAGTCAATACTTTTGTGAAGTGGGTGGGTGGGGGTTTTGCTGGGCCACTAATTTCCCCTCTAAACAGTGATGTATACAGTGACACATGCAGTTCAGTGTGCAGAGCAAGCACAGGATTGTGTCAGGGGGAGTGTCAGTCATTCACATCATTTCTTGCTGAAGAGCCCAGCAAGTAGCAAAACAAAACAGTCAACTTTTTCATTGAATTGTAAGTTCATAAAACTAATATGCGCCCCCATCCTGCTTCCAGCAGCAGCAGCCAGCACTGGCCACAATTTATTAGGTCAGCTGCTATTTCCCTTGCATTGCTAAAAGGGGAACAATAGTTGTAGTTAGTATATTGACTTTGAGCCCTCTGCCAATTTCCCAAAATTTAGGCATTGAGAAGGCTGAACTGTAACCTCACACATACTGGGTGCATCTACATGTTCATTAATGTGCCGTAGTTACTTGGACAGCCAAGTACTAAGTCAATGCACAGTAACTTGTACTACTGTGCAGTAGCATCAACACGTGCTTTTTTTTTTGGATGTTAACAGCACAGTAGCCTAATACTACTGCGCAGTAGCATATTAGCATGGGTTTTGCTAGGCACACTACTGTGCAGTGTTATTAGGCTACTGCGCAGTTAGTGTCTTGTGTAGATGCACCCACTAGGCATCAAGGTGCATCATATAGGAGCAGAAGGCATCAGTAGAAAGGTTCATTTCTAATTCCTCATGCTGTCTTTTTTAAGACCTCTATCTGGATGAGATGAGTCCTAAAGTAGTTGTTCAAAGCCCTGGAGAATTCCCACATTTCTTGAAGGAAACTAAGGGGAGCTTATAACATACACTGCTGTATCTCTGCAAGCCTGGACATCGAATCATAAACAGGCTAGGAGTACATTAGCTAGGTATTAGCAGTTAAAAACAAAGCAAGAAAATACCCCCAACATCTGACATAAAATCCACCGTAGTGGGCAGGTCTACAGGAGATGTTTATTGCGCAGTTGACCAATTAACTGAGCAGTAAACGTCTCAGCGTCTACATGTGCACCCTTATTGGGACACATGAAACTAATAAACTCTGCACCAGGGTAGTACTTGGAAATACAAGTAGTACCCCGCTGTGGAGTGTTTTCATGTGCAGCAGCATACATGTAGATGCTGCCCTGGCTGGCTGGGGCACAGGGTGCTTCAGCACAGGGCTAGCTAGCAGGCAACACCTGTGGTGAGGCACCCTGTGCCCCAGCCAGCCACTTCACAGCATGTGGAGATGGGGGAGCAGCCAGGACTGGCTGACTCCCCCCCCACCTTCATTTTCACATGCCACTGCAGCTGGCTGGGGCTGCCTGGCAGCACATGGAGCCTGGTTGGAACAGGCCTGGGCTGGCAGGCTGACCCCCTTGGTCCCCTGTCAGCCTGGACTGCTCTGACTGGGCTCCATGTGGTACACATGAATAAACTCTGGAGCAATAAACTCCAGTATATTGATCCACATTAATTGCACATGTAGATGTTCCCAGTGAGAATGTGATATATCTTGTCCTTTGTCTCTCCTGCGGGCTTAGAGTGGAAGCTGACTTGTTGGGATAAGAGGACAGGAACCTCTAGGCTGCTGCACCATCATGAAGGATCCCAGATGAACAGCTCATGAGTGCACAAGATCCCTTTTGGTGCCTGTGCCTTGGCTTATACAAATACTGAATGTAAAGGCACACCTCCTGTTTTGCAGAATTATTCACACAAAGCTGCAACCTGATACCAAGGAAATAAGCACAGCAAGCTTAAAGGGAAGGAAGGAATAGTCAAGAAGCTGAATAAAGGGGCACTGGCCAAAGATGTAGATGAATTTATTAGGTACAGTATTTTTTACACATAAATAATAAAAAAATCAATAATGCCAATGAGATACACTCTCCTTCACCTTCACTCATGGGGCACCGGAGAGAGCATGTTTGCTGTCTGAGAAGGACAGGAGGCATAAAGGCCAGTGGTTGCAAAGTTAGTGGGCCCCATGAGGCCCAAAGGAGAGGCAGGTCCTTCAGAAGAAGGCACAGAGCAGGGTAGCAAAGGAGCAGGTGGGTGATCATTTCAAAAACAGAAGAGCCCATCACCCCATTGGCCAGGGGGAATTTCCTCTCCAGATACTGTGACTATGGGAAAAGCTGGGTTTCCTACCAGCAGCACAGGGGGGAGGCCCCAAGGGAGATCAGCCTCTCAACATACAGAACTTTCCCTCCAAATCACCATGCCCAGCAGACCAAAGCCTTTCTGTACTTTCCAGCCTGAACATCAGCCCAAGAAGCAGCACACAAAGCCCTGATGCTCAGGCAGCGATGGGGGTGTGCGGGTGGGATGCTGGTTAGCACCTCTCAGCACAAAGTTCTCCCCACCTTTCACAAAGGTCATACTTTAATTAAACAGCATGTACTACCCTGGCCAGTGACAGAGCCGGCCCATCCTATCCTGCAAAACCTGCGGCCAAGGGTACCCCTGTGTCTGGCGACTTGCCCTCCCCCCGACCCCCACAATGCAGGCTTCACGTCCAGCTGGTTGCCACCCCCCTCCCCCGGCCCCCCCGCTGGCGGCAGCTTCTTCGGCCGCTTGTCACCCCCTGCCACCAACACCAGCTTCTTTGTGTCAGGGGCCCCTAAAACTATATTTTGCAGGCCCCCCCCAAAAAATTGCAGGCCAGCCCTGGCCAGTGAAGCCCTTTTTCAGATAGTACCCTAGGAACACCCCTTCCCATATCCCAAACATGCATGTCTGGAAAGGATAAATACAGATGTTAAGACCTTGGGTGTGCTGCTTTTTTGTAAAGCAGTTGGCTCACCGTCTCCCTCCCCCACCAGCTGTTAAGATGATTTTCTAGTCCCCAAGATTTCTCTGCCTTGTCCAGGTAAGGAAGGTCTGACCAGCACTTGAAGGAGTTGTAGAAACTGCTGAGAATGACTTTGGAGGAAGCTGTTCAGTCTGGAAGAGCCTGTCTGCCATGTGCAGGCCCAGCTTGGGCTGGAGGAATCAGCAGCCAGCAAGTAGCTTGGTCATAGAGCTTGGAGTACAATGGCCCTTAGGCAGGCTTGGAGTGCAAGGACTCCAAATCTCTCTGTGTTGCTCTCTGGCTTAGCTTCACCAACTGTGTCAATTCATAGTAATCTGTGAGGTTACATATGTTTAGAGCCACAGGCCAGCCTGGAAGGGGAAATATGAGGGGGCTCCTGGTTTACCCACAGCAGCATTTGCTGCCATGCTGCAACCCAGAACCACAATGGCCAGTAGCAGCCAGTCCTCTCCCATAGTGACATCAGGCTTCGCACACAAAACAGCCCATGTGTAAAGTATTATGAGCAAGGAGGCACCAAGGCAGGAGCAAGCACATACAGGAGAGCAAATATTCCCCATTCTCAGAAAGCATCTATATGAAGAACATGACATTGGGAACCTCCCACGCCCAGTGGCTCATCTGGAGATAGAATGAACACCCATTGCCAGCATGCGTGTGAGTGCAGGTAAGAACATTGCTTATGTGGGGGAGGGAGGGGTTAGGTGGGGGCTCTGTGTGTGTTGTGGGGAAGAGAATTAAGAGCAGTGTTGGAGCATCATAAAGTCTGAGACAAAGCCCAGGGGGACCTATTTCCTTCCCTAGGCCCCTCAGCTGGAGCTCCAGGACAGTCACAGGGAATGTGACAGGATCATGCTTTGGCTGTAGATGGCACAGACTCTGTATGCTGCTGCCAGCATCGTTTGCCTGTCCGCTGGAAGTTTTTTCTGTTGGTGAGAGAACCAGTTCTGCCTCACCAAGTTTAGGGGCCTGGTCATGGGGATGCATGAAGGGAGACAGTTCCTTTCACAGACTCAGCTGCTGGCTGGTTGTCTGAGGATGGGCATCTCTGCCAGACTGATGCAGCTATTCATAAAGCCTAGTACAGCCCCAGGCTGGTCCAGGATAGCTCCTATACTGACTACTAACCAAACATCTCCGTATATACACACACAAGGGCTACATTAAGGACCCAATGGTATTAGTACGTGTAGCCTTTGTTGTAAGGTTGGGAAGGAAGACTCCCAAGGTCCTGCATGTATGCAGCATTCTCATCCAGGTGGGACAGGGGAACTGTATCTTCCTCGCTGACCTGCCGATCGAACTCAGCTTTCAGGGTAGGCCGCTGATTGTCCGGGAAGGCCAGGGAGAAGAGGGCTTCGGGCTCGCAAACAAACTTGTATACATAGCGCTCTCCAGCAACCTGCAGGATGGAGACAAGTCACGTACTGCAGTGTCTGTCGCACCAATCTAGCACGCAACTGAATGTTCCCAGCGAGTAACAACAGTACCAGACACATGGGGCACATCCAGATGAGCATCCACATACATTTCCTCGGGGACATATAGCAAAAGCACATAGTTGTGCCACTGCTCCTTGCCCCCAGGGAACGCCCCTGCAGGCGTGCTCTGGCGCATGTCAAGTAGCCCCAGGTGGGGTAGGAGAGGCAGGGGCCAGCACCTGGGCTGGGCCCAGCAGCCTTACCTGGGGGCCTCCTGGGGCTCCAGTGGTGGTGATCTGGCAGCAGGGAGCCTGGCCAGAAGCTGGAGTGTATCTCTGGCTGGCCAGGCTCCAGTTTCAAGTGGTACATGCTACTGCCAATGTGCACCACATCACTTTTTTCTAGTGCAGGTTTTTTTGACGCTGGCATCTCCCGGTGTCAACCCCACCCCCCTGCACTGCAAATTAGCAGTGTGGGGAATGCCTGCATGTGTGGCATGTGCAGTGTCACAGATGGGACTGCAGTGTTGCATACTGCATGTACACACATGTCTGGATATGCCCATGGGGTAAAAAGGGAGCCATGGTGGCAGGGCTTGGAAAAAGCCTTGGCTCCCTAGCTTTTCTCACTGCATCAGGGGAAGACTACCACCAGTCCCTACAAGGTCTTCCCCTCAGCTGCTGCTCTGTTCCTACCTGGAATAGCTTTA